AGCAGTTATAGACACATGCGGCCGCTCACTTTCAAACATCAAATGGACAGAGAGAGACGCACTGGCTCTGGTCTGACAATCCAGATGTGTGAGCGCTTAATTAAGTCTCCATAGCAGTTAATCACCACGGCGACAGCAGGGATAAGTACGAGAGGCAAGACTTAAACTACAATATACAGGTATCCAACTGCATGGATTTGGAGGGCATTAGTGAAGGAACAAGCTGTCAAAAAGTTTCTAACAAAGAGAGATATTAATTAGTTCATTACTTCATGTTTTAATAAGGCAGGTGCAGGCATTTGTTGTTTTGTTCTGATTAAACTGGAGATGTTAAGAAAGAAGTAGGCTATTATAAATTGTTCAAATGCAATGTTCCCTCTAGTGGAGAAATGCGGTTCTGCAGATTTAAGCACCTGGCAACTTCAGTGGTTTTATTCATATTTTAGGGTCAATTATCTAAAGAATGTTGGTTGAAAGATAGTAAGAATCAGACTGCCATCATGCTCTTGAGCAAGACACTTTGCCGAACTTTGCTGTATGAATGTTTTAGTGCGACTGCTTATCAGTGGTGTATAAAATTGTAAATTGTAAATAGTGTGATCTTTTCTGAGTAACAACAATACTAAAAGGCAGAGGTGGGGACTCAGACTTGAGTCAGTATTTTTAGGACTTGAGACTTGATTTGATAAAATGGACTAAGACTTGGGACTCGACTTGGACTTGAAGGTCAGTGACTTGGGACTTGACTCGGACTTGAGGCCTGTGACTTGAGAAGACTTGATGAGCACTTTTTAATCTGAATTCTTTCTATTCTGACTGTAATGATTCACACTAAGATCTTGTCAAGACATTTAAAAAGGAAAAATGTACATTTCTACAACACTTACATACTCTATAAATACTCATATATAAATATACTGTGATTTTTTAAAGTACAATTTAGTTTAAAATTCATATAAATTGAAAAAATCTAAGCCAAATTTGGCACTTTGGTTCAAAGCAGATGACTTGGACTTGACTTGGACTTATGGGCCAGTGACTCAAGACTCGACTTGAACTTGCCTGTATTTGACTTAGGACTTGACTTGGACTTGAGGTCAAAGACTTTAGACTTACTTGAGACTTGCAAAACAATGTCTTGGTCCCACCTCTGGTAAAAGGTGCACCTAACTTTCTTAAACAAAGCTACTTGTTTCTATAGAGACGGTATTGCTTTTGCCTGGAATGTTTCACAGTACGGCATTTATGTTCTTGACATCACCAGGCTGAGTTACAGGTCAGATCTGTGGAGAGATTTGACCACTCACAGTTAGAATGCATATTTTTTGCTGGTAATCAAAACACCTGTAATTGAATAAATACAAGCTGGATATATTTTATGCAAGCAAAATAATATCTTCATGGAAACAAGCAAGTGGACCAGAAAAGTTACATAGTGCCCCTTTAAATTTGTCATAAATATTCATTTCAATATTCAATTCATATAACCTCATATAACCTTAACGTTTAGTGCAACTGCTTGTCAGTGGTGGTAAAAAAAATAGTAAATTGTGTTTTTTGAGCAACAGAAATACTAAAATGTGCATCTAACTTTATTAAACAAACCTGCTTGTTTCTATAGAGACAATATTGCTTTTGCCTGTAATGTTTCACAGTACGGCATTTAAGTTCTTGTCTTCACCAGGCTGAGTTACAGGTCAGATCCATGGAGAGATATGACCATTCACAGTTAAAATGCATCAAAAATATTCTTCATTCAGCTAATTCATATAACCTCATATAACCTTAACTGTATTTTTACTTTTTGTATAAACTTTTTACTGTTGCTATGTAAACCCTTTGGCATTTTGATCAGATTAAACATGGTGGTACATGTTTACGCTAATATACTCTAGACAGTGGACCCGATCCCTTCTTTTGATACATTTGATTCCCATGACGAATAAGATTAAGATTACCCGCTTTACCATAATGTCATACATGCCAGCGTGAGTTACAGAGGGATTAAGTCTTCTATATTTGCTCATGAAAACAGTTGTTTGTAATGATAAGGCTGACACACTCAATCGATTTGCACGCGCCCTCCCTGACAGTACAGATTAACTAGCAATAAGCCTTTATTAGCAGTCAAATACACACATTTACACATTTGCAAGCTATCAATTAATTTCACATATGGTAGCAGTAATTATGGTTATAGATAAGGGGGATTAAGCATGTAGAAAAGCAGGGATAGAGTGGTCTTGCCCCGAAGAGAGGAGGAGCAGAGCGAGGAGGCATGGGGCTTGGGAGGGCCACTAGCTCGCTGCATAAACAACAGCTGTGTAGCTCGTGGCTAAAAACAGGATTGAACAACAACATCATTTGCTAAGAAAATGATCCGGGGAAGAAGAGATAGACGTGAAGATAAGAGATGAGAGGCTCGAAATGATCATCTGTGCAGGGCTTCATTTTTTATTTGTCTTTTGCCTTTATTTCACTGCTGTATTATTAATTCACACTCTTAATGCGCTTTTAATGCAAAGCTACATGGCAACATCAAAACAGGGATGCATTTTGTGTTTACCAGTATTTTTGTTCTGGGAAATATTTTACTGATATATCCTTATGGCAATGCTGTGATGGAATTATATATATATTTTTCTATGAATTTCAAACTTGTATTGGGTTGTTGTGTATTGTGTATTTGAAAGAAGGTCTTGGGAACAGTATAGCCGCTATAAAGCTCAGCTAATGGGGAGCCTATAATCAGCCAAATGTACAAAACCAGGCTTTATCTGTCTAGCTCAATTATATATAGATCTATGGATGACATAATAGAAAATATCCTTTTTGTTTTTTTCAGTCAAAAGTACATTGTGTAACTTTTCTGGCAAGGTGTTGCTGCTTTATCTGGAATGTTTCTATCATTACGGGGACCAAACCAGACCAAGTTACAGGTCAGACCTGTGGAGAGGCAACCCCTCTCACAGTCAGAATGCCTGTTTTGGTGAAGTATTTTTAATCCGTGTATCATTTGTTCATTCGTTTTTCAATATATGAGTCCCGGGTCTGGTCCCAGTCTCTGTCCTGGTCTCAGTCGTGGTCTAGTCCTGGTCTGGTCCCATTCTCAGTCCCTTTCTCAGTCCTGGTCTGGGCCCAGTTCAGTCCAGTATTGCAGTTTAAGTCACGGAAACGGGAAATCATTTTGGTTTAGGAGACAAATAAAGAAGAAAATAGTTGTTTCTTCGTTTTCTTATTTTTGGTTTTATCTTCAAAAAACGAATAAACGAATGATACACTGATTATTTTTGAGCAATAAAACAATGAAACCAACTGCAATTGAATAAATGTAAGGAGCAATGACATATCCATAGAAACAAGCAAGTGACAACTCCCAACAAAAAAAGGTTACATAGTGCACCTTTAAATGTCAATGAAGTTTCTACACCAAAATGAGCAATATTCAAACAGCAGCTAGTCCATGGGCGAAGGCTAAACTCATTGTGTCACTTTGTTTATAGTATGAGGTTTGCTCTTACAAGGAAGTGAAAATAAAGTTGAAAGTGCACCTTAAGCAGTGGTAATGGGATTTGGTCACATATTTCTGTAGTGCTAAGTGCTAAGATTTTTGTCAATATGAATGTTTCCTCCCACTCTTTGCCCCCATTACACTCTGCTGTCCCAGAATTTAAAGCATTTATTGTCTAAGTTTGAAATGTGTTAACAGATACACTGCATGTTATGTCATGAGTATTTTGCAAGTTTACAGGTACACTGTGTGAGTAGGGTCAGTCACCTGTTTTTCTCTATTATTGAGATATTCTGCCCTACAAAGGCAAAAAACCTGTGAAAGTGTGAAACTGAAAAAATGACTTCAAAGTTTCTGTTTTGTCCAGACAGAAGTATAATAGTACAAACACCATGATGACTAGTCCTTGGTTAGAATGAATGTTGGTGAAAATCAAGTAAATAATGATAATCAGTCAGTTACTGCCTTTTGCCTTTGCACGATCTTTATTTTTTGGCATATGATACAAAGGCAGAGTACAGGACCTGACAAATAAGGGGCAAAGGTCAATTTTGAGCTCAATATTCTTCACAATATTTATTCTCATGATAAAGGAGGTCTCATATACCCCCAAAATGACTATGAATTCATTTTTGACCAAATGTGATGTTACGGCGTTCTGCCTTTGTAGGGCAGTATTGTCTGGAATGTTCCATAGTTTGACATTACTCGTATTCAACTCTGCAGAGACAGCAGGTGACACTACAGGGCCAAGTTATATGCCAGATCTGTGAAGAGGTGAGCCTAGACATAGTAAGAATTCAAGTTTTAGGTCAATAAAACCCCATGTTATTGATTAAATGGAAGATGGATTTGTTTAATGCCATACAGGGACATTCTAGACAAAACATTTCCATGGAGAATAGCATTTGATGGACCCTCCACTAGAAAAGTTACACAGTGCACCTTTAAAATTATTTTTAGCTTCACCATACCTGCTCTCCTCAACACTTGTGTGAAAATGCGTTTTGTGTTCTCCATTGAGGGGCTGTGCGGCTGCTCTGCCCTTGACTTGTATCCATCCAGCGAAGCGTGTTGGATGCTTTAGTTAATTAAGCCTAATCTACCCCCAGAGACATATCTGAGAGCTGTTACAGTGCGTTGTCCCACCCGCTCCTCTTCAGGACCCCCACAGACGCCCCACACACCCAGTGGCCCTCACACTCACACGGGACACTTTATGCATGTTTAAAGATTTATAGTACAACATACAACTGATGGTGAGATCATAAATTAGCATGTCTATGTCCTGTCTATCTCCTCCAGTGTGGAGATGGCTTTTACTAGCGTATTGGGGAGTGTAAATTATGTTTTGATAGCTTTTATCTTGCTGTAAAAGTGACAAAAGCAACCACCAAGACCTCCTCCTCTTTGTGTAAAACAATGTATATTAATCACTTTAACAATGCATTTTAATTACTGTAGTAGTATGTATCTCTACATTCAAATTTTTCTTTAATTTATTTAATGATACACAGATTGAACAATATATGAAACAATATTACAACAAATTGATCATGATAACAGTTTTACATCACATCTCTCAAGAATCTGATTATTACATCAGATGTGTTTGTTCTAATAACTCCAATTTTAAATGGATTTTAAAACTAACATTAAAGGGCCTGTACCAGATTTTTTTTTCCATGTATTTAGTAAATGCTGCTTGCACTAGTACAGATATTGGTCAAAAGGTGAAAAAAAAAAAGAAAAAAAAGTCTAGTTATATTGCTTTGTTGCTTTACCCCAATGGCAAAACTCTGCTTTGGTCTCTGAAAGTTGCGAAAAGAAGTGGACCTCTGCAAACCAAAATGAACTAGTTCTGTTTTTCATATTTTTAAAACGCAGGTACAGATCCTTTAAGTAGAGAGTTGCAATATATCCAGATATAGTACTACTGTCTATTAACAAACACATTGTAGAGATCATCAACATCAAGCCAAAATTAATCAAAAGTCACGTTAAAAGTTAAAGGTGCATTGTGTAACTTTTCTGGTGGAGGGTCCATTAATGCTTTTCTCCACACAGATGTTATTGCTTCATCTGGAATGTTTCACAGTAAGACATGGAGACCAAACTAGACCAAGTTACAGGTCAGATTTGTGGAGAGGCAACCCCGTTCACAGTCAAAATTCCTGTTTTACTAAGTATCTTTGAGCTATAAAATCACCTATCATTAAATAAATGTAAGGTAAAGCTGTTTAATGTCATACTGTGGAACATTCCGAGCAGAGCAATGACATATCCATAGAAACAAACAGTTGACGGACCCACAACCAGAACGTTAGTGCACTTTCAATAGAGGCAATCTTGATTCTCAAAAATGCTGCATTGATTTACCACATTTGTATTTTAAAAGTTTAAAGCTATTTTCAATTTTCTTCTTCTTCTTCTTTTTTTGTTTTTTGTTTACAGTGACATCTCTTCTCCGCTGGTGATAGAGGTGATAGTCATTCTGCTCTGACGACTGCGGACACTGCTCCTGTTTTGTTTTGAGCTGTTATGTCCCACAATTTTTACAAATCTCATCAAATGGTTCTTGAACTTGACCCCCACAAACACATAAAACACAGGGTTGAGGCAGCAGTGGGAGAAGGCACCAAGTCTGCAAATATTCAAAGCGTATTCAAGTGTGCTGTATGTTTGACAGACATCATCACCAACAGGGGCACGTGACTTTAGGAAGATTACCACATTGTATGGTGCCCAGCCTAGAAAGAACACAACCATGAGGGTAAAAATGACTTTAAGGGTTTTGCTTTTTCTACGTTGTCCAGTTGGGCGCAGTAATCTCCAAATGATTTGCACATAACAGAAAATAAAGACCAGAGATGTCAAAATGAACAGGGCAATTTGTTGGTAGATTCCCCAAAAGCTTATGGGAGAATCTGCGATATACCCACAAAACCCATCATCATTTACTTTTGTGAAAATAAAATATGGAACAGCTACAACAATACTGACAAGCCAGATAAAAATAGGCGCTAAAATGCAGTACAAGCCTTTAGTTGATACAATATCAGAGAGAGGACTGACGACTGCAATGTAGCGATGAATGGTCATAATGATCAGGAGAAAACCACTGCTGTAAAAACCAATATAGAAAACAAAGTTGACAGATTTACATGCCACTTCTCCAAGGGTCCAGGTGCCGTTCATGTGGTAGTAAACCCAGAATGGTAGACCAGCGGTGAAGATCAGGTCAGAGATGGCCAGGTTGAGAATAAAAGCATTGGTGATGGACTTGATGTTCTCGTATTTGACCAGGATCATGATGACCAGAGAGTTGCCAAAGACGCTCAGTATGACCACGAGAGAGAAAAACACAGGGTTGAAGATCTGACCGAATTTTACGGAGCCAGAAACGTTACATGCTTCGTTCTCATAACTGTCATCATAGTAGTCCTCTGGAAAAGGCGTAGGTGTATTCATTTTCTATGTCAAGAAAAACAGAGAGATCATTATAATGTAGATTATATGATATGCATTTCCATTAGTGTTTTAACCTATATTCTAAATACATTTTATAGTTACACAGGCCTAAGTACTATACTAGATACTTTATACAAAATAACTCTCCATGCATAAAGATCCTTAAAAATACTGAAATACTTACATTTGTAACACGATAGGCAAAGTCAGACTAATGACAAATTTAACACTGGATCATCAACTTTCAACTTTCTAAAGTACTGTACAGGAAGGTGAACTGAGAAAACACCCATTTTCACATCATCTTTTCAACTTTATGGTAAGAATAATAATAAAATTGACACTTTCTATTAAACCATCTTTCTTATGGCTTGATAAGACATGTTTAAACTAATAGCCCAGCTCTAGGCCAAGTACAGTCTATTATAATCTCATATAATATCTGTGTCATATCTGTGTATATCCCTTTGTGCCTTAGAAACATTTAATTCTATCAACTGGACAAAAAATAAAATAAAATAAATACATAAATACATAAAAAAATACATAAATAAAATAATAAAATAAAAAATATATATAATATAATACATATTTTTTTTTGTCCAGTTGACAGAATTGAATTTTTGTTTGACTATGTCTCATCTAATACAAGTAAAAAATTTTCAGATGCTTAAATAAATGTTTATATTGCCCCCCAAATAATCCCTATAGCCATTTACACATTTAAATCTGGGAAATAGGCCTACAGATGTAATTATGGGCTATAATAACCAAACTTCTTCTTCTTTCTTTTGTTGCTGGTGATTAAACATGTTTATTCTAGGGTAGTTATTAGACATCTCTTGTATGTAGGTTGCTGTCTATGGTTTTTACACTACTGAGCCTCATCTAGTAAAACTAAAAACGTTTAGATGGTGAAATTATTATTTTATTATTTGATCTAATATTAATGTTGTTCCAATAAACCTTTATACACATTTACGCAGTTTATTGTGTAAATGTGCAACATAATTATGGGCTATGATGTGAAAAAATAATTAATTATATGACACAAATAGATTTACTACATGTGTTTTCTAACGATTTCCCCACTGATAAGTTTGTTTTTAGTGCACACATAACACGCTTCTCCGTTTGTTTATTTACTCTTTGTCTTTCAACCAAACCTGGCTCGGGATTGGCTGACAGAGCTGTCCATCAGCCGCAGCTCCCGCCCCCACAGACAGCATGCTCCTCCTGCAGTAGCACCGTGAAGCTTTACTACACCTCGGAATATTTTGCATATCAAGTACGTGTTCTATCTGATTCTTATTCCCTTTAAAATTTTTATGTTTGGAAGCTTTTCCTGTCAAACTGCAATAATGTGTCAGTCAAATATCTGGAAAAATCCTGAAATGCACGATTGGGAACAGGTGCATGTAGATGTAGCTGCTGCTGCTGCTGCTGGGGTGCTGTTGCTAGTTTGGTACAGCGATGATCAGGATGCTATTTGATGGCTTTAAACGTGTTTTTTTGAAGTATTCTTAAATAATATACTCTATAATGGTGAAAAACGTTGGTTCAAATACATCTACGTGTATTAGACCGACTGACACGTATTTTTCCTTTTCATTTCCACCTAATACTCATCTCACTGTATAAATTGCTAACTTTACTTAGCTCCCATGGTCTTACAGTGATTCATTTTAATCGGAAACCACCAGTTAATGCGTTAGCTAATTAAACATTAATTAAACATTGCACAGACAGGGATGAAATAGTTCCCATTTTTACAAAGACTATTAAATTGATGAATGGTAGTACATTTTGGGCTGTTTTTATTCTAACTTGCCTACATGACATTACTTTAGGCATAGCTGTTCTATAACTTATTGTTAATTGTGTAAATTTGTTTTTTTAGTCCTTTCCTTTTATTTCAGAATGGCCTCATCATCTGTTGGAGATAATCAGCTGCAGAGGATAATCAGGGATCTCCAAGGTAACCACACAAAACAGCTGTTGTCGGACATGTTTGTAGTTTTTGGCCTTTTCTGGGGTTAAAAAGCAAATACAAAATTGAGTTGTAACTGGCTTAGAACACATTACCATCCATGCTGTAACAAAACCAGTATTCCTATGACATTTTGCAAAACCAAGTTGCATGATATTTGATATAAAAAAATGAGTGCTGTAATAGTAGAGAGGTCATTTACTAATCTCCCCTAATTTTCAGAATAACAAAAGTTTACTAATGGCAGGCATACACTGTGTATTTTCGATTGTTTCACTCACCCCAATGACCAAATCACAGCTCACAATAACTTTTCTTATATTAAACACAAACTACTTCAACAATGCGAAACCCTCACAAGAGGTGACCAGATTTCAAACAGGTTTGATATTCTTGCAACCTACGATTGCTGATCAGGAGCTGGTCGTGAGGTATTAATTGATTCTCGTTACCCTATGTATACTACACAAAGCATGACACACGATTAAGCCGATCCCAAAAACAGTCACACAAAATGAAAAATAATATATATATAATATATACAAGTAATATATACTCATTAATTTCTCATTACATTGTTTTGATTGTCTCTTTTAGAAGCTGTGGTGGAGTTGAGTAAAGAACACAGAGAATGTGGCGAGCCGATAACTGATGATAGCCCCAATTTACACAAGTTTTTCTATAAACTGGAATATTTACTGCAGGTAATGGATGCATCAATGAAAACAACAACCTTATAAAAACCATGAGAATAATAAAAAATGTGACATAATATAGAATGCATACATCAATCCCACTACTACATTTCATACATCATATCCCATTCATATGAAGTTGTTTTTTTGTCATTTCAATTTTCAATTTTGTTTACTTTTTGTTTTTTTAAAGTTTGACCAGAAAGAGAAGAGCACGTTTCTTGGTCAAAGGAAAGACTACTGGGATTATTTCTGCGAGTGCCTGACTAAGATCAAAGGAGCTAATGATGGCATCCGTTTTGTTAAGTCCATCCCTGAGGTAATCCTGATCTTCCTTCACACGCACACACATACACACACACACACACACACACACACACACACACACACACACCCATATACACACACACAACACACTTGTAAAACTGTAGCTAATCCTTCGGTCAGTCTCGTAGCACTGTTGCGAACTTACATGCGTCTTTATACTCGTTCTTACAACAGCTTGTTTCTTTGCTTTGTGCCAGTGCTTCATTGTGGTAAGCCTTTTAATTGAATATGAAGTAGTAGAAACATTTAAATAGCATTTTAAATATAGTACTTTAATACTCTATACGTTTTGTTTTTAATACTGTTGATTCTTTTTACCTTCACAGTGGTAAGGCTTTTAGTTGAATAGCTTAATTTTCATCAAAATATATAATTAAATATATTATTATTGTTATGACTTAAAATTATATTAAGAGGTTTCTTTTACCTCTTTGTTTTGGTACATTTGTTTTGTTAGAGCACGTAACCTACTACTCCACAGTTTATTTTAAAACAGAAATACATGGATTCTTGTAAGATTTTGCTTTTGAGATCGCAGTGCACTTTTTCTTGAACTTTTTGGTTTACTCACAGTTTTGCATCAATGATTTAAAAACCCTTTTACATCAGCATTGTTTGACTTAATTATTACAGAATTAATGATGCCACTGTACCATATGGCATTGTGCTTTAATCATTCATTTTTATGGGGGAATTAGCTAGCTAATGTACTTCAGTGTAAACACTATAATTACTGAGTTTGTAAGTTTGGTTTTACAGGCTTTCAAGCCACTTACATTATGCTGATGATCATTACTGAATTCTTTTTGGGGAAGGAGCAGTTTCTTCAAAATTGCGTGTCATTTATACATATATAAGATACAACAGCTAATTATCAGAAGAGTTTGCTTACTTTTAAAATTCTTGAACGTGGAGGCAGTAATATTTTGGCGTTCTTATATTTCAGCTTCAACTATGTATATACGTAATAAATCTGCCATTTATATATAGCACAAACATTGAGTAAACAAACTGACTGACCTCAAAATTATCTGTGGAATCTTACAAGTACATTTTGACCACTTGTTATCAACACAGAGCGTTGACATTGGGTAAAGGTGCACTATGTCACCTTTCTTATGGAGGGTCTGCCACCTGCTTGTCTCCATCGAGAGGTTATTGTATTTCCTGGAATGTTATTGTGATATGATTTTTTTTTTAATCTAGTATATCACTGCAGGTTTTGTTATAACTTGAAGTGTTGAAAACATGCATTCTTACAGTCAAGCAGGGCAATCTTGTCATAGGTCTGATCTCTTGATGCCATCTGCTTTTTCCATGGAGATAGATAAGTCTAGTTTCATAGTGAAACACTGTAAACAAAGCAATAACATATACTCTAACAGAGAAATTATATTGTGTATGTTGAAGTAATATTGGTTACAGTAGTCAAAATAGCAGTGATAAGCTTAGTATTAGTACTAAGCAGTACTAAGATACTAGCAAGTAGAAATATAATTTTTTAAAAGAGCTATTATGTCACACTGAAAAGATTAACTTGTTAAAACCTTTTATGGTTTTCAGTTATAACAAAAAGAAATTAGTGTAAAATATAAATGATTAAAGTAATAACAATAGACATTGTAATGTGTATTGTATGTGACTTTGTGTCCTCAGCTGAAGACTTCTCTGGGTAAAGGAAGAGCCTTCATTCGTTACTGTTTGGTTCATCAGAGACTGGCCGACACATTACAGCAGTGTCTCATCAACCAAAGGGTTACGAGGTAAAGTCTACGTGATGCATGCACAGCACTGTTATTTGAGGTTCAATGTTTGTAGACTTTCAGTTACCTGTGTATACCACTCACTGAGCTGAATTTTAAGGAAATGCAAGTTTCTCTTCCTTTTAATTCTAGGTGGTTGTTGTTTTACTTATAGGATGTGTACCCCATCCATTAGAACTAAAGGACTGATTGACTTAAAAATAACAAAAAGTTTACATTTGATTACAGTAAATTTCAATTGCGTATAACATACAATTTTTAAGTTCATTATTAAATACATTATTAAAGTTTCACATTGTAATTTAGTTTGAGAAATCATGTTACCATCAGTAGCTGTTCTCTTTTTGTTTGACATGAAGTGGAGCATTGGATAAGTATTTTTGCAAATATAACCATAACTTTCCAGAATATTTTTTTCTTTCACTGTACAAAAGTAATATACTTGTTTCATTTTTTTGAGGCAAATATGTGCACATTTATTTTTTGTGTTGACAGTGACTGGTATTACGCCCGGAGTCCCTTTCTCAAGTCCTACCTCACAGCTGACATAATCAACCACCTGTATGAGCTCAACCAAATCCAATTTGACGTGGCAGCGAGAGGCTACGACCTCGATGCCGACTGGCCAAGCTTCGCAAGGTAATCAAATGTACCCTTTGTTTACATGCTACCCACACTTATAGGAGTCAATGGGTTCTTACATTTGTAAGTGGAACTCTTACGTCATATTATTTATTGTATTAATAATGCCTTACACTACTAATCTAATTTACAGGCATGGTACAGGCTCTTAAAGCTCAACACTGTAGTTAATACTCATTCACTCCACACTACTTCAGTGTGGACATCAGTGCTACCTCAGAGGCCACAGCTGCCCTGAGGTAGGCTGACAGAAGCAAGTCTGTCGGTCTACAAACAATCACTCATGCACACACAACACATTCTTAATGGTCAAGGTGGGTGAAATTACTTCACAAAGTCCTTAATTACAGACTACTACTACTACTACTACTACTGCTGCTGCTGCTACTTCATCTCATTACTTGTGCCTCTTCCTTTTGGTAAAGCTGCAGTTCCATTCTATAAACCTGACTGTGGGTGTAATAATTAATAATAACACATCTTTGCAGAACGGCTAATTTGAAATGTCAAAAGTGGTGAAATCACTATTGGTTTTTCACAGCCTGAAGTAACAGTTCATTATCTGATCCCATTCGCAGCTCCTTTTTGCTGCACTGTGTAAAAATGTGCAGGTGCTGACAGTCTGTTAGTCTTAATGGTTGTTTCTGCTGTCAGCACCTTTGTCAAACTTTTCACTTCCGCATCATCGATTTGTGCTACATTTGTTTAACACTGTCTATTGTAACTATGTTTGTATGTTGTTATCAAGCGTTGTTGTTATTTTAATGCTCCTAAGGTGTAACACTGTCAACACATCGAGCTATTGACCTGGAAAAAGTCAATAGAGATGGTATTTTCAATTAGATATAGGATTTTATGTTGCATGACTTCTCATCTAGAGGAATAATAATAATGTTGTTTTGTTTATTAATGACTAATTAGCTATGATACATTTAACACAGCATGGATATTCAGGATTGTGGTGGCAGTGTCATGTAGACATATTTACCCTCTCTTTGTAATCCATGTTTTGTAGAGGAAACTGAATTATTTATGCATGTAGTGTGTTTACTGTGTTTTATTTAGGAAAATAATTTAATATGTTTCACTGAGGTTAAACCTTTTTAGCAAAGCCTGATCTCGTCAGATCTCAGAAGTGAAGCAAAGCTGGGCCTGGTTAGTACATTGGATAAGAAACTACTGGAAGTATCTGGCGCCACAGTGGGGCACCAGTGGCAAAAAAAAATATTATTGTATCCTTAGAGACCAAATATTGGCCCGATATATTGGACAACCAGTATATTGTGTCGATATTTGACCTTTTTAGCGCACCAGCTATTCCAACCATTTGGTATTCACATTGGCTATGAAAAAAAACAAAAAAAAAACAAAAAACATATCAATCGATCACTAGTCTAAGATTTTACAATACTATAATGCATTTTCAGAGTTTATTTGGACACTCCAAAAAATTCACCCCAAACCTGGTTACAGCTATTGTAGCCTCAGCTCCCCCGGTGGTAGATTAGCAGAATCAAGGCCGCCAATCTGCGCCATCAGCCCCTCCAACTACCACCACCAACACTCACTGACACACTACATCCATACTAAGCTATGTGAGTGCCTAGATACATAAGGGCAACAATCTCCCATTTCAGGACTAACCAGGCCCAGCCCTGCTAGGCTTCCAAATCCAAGTCCAAGTTGAATATAAAATATAAAGTGTTATTTAATAATAACAAATTATTATCTATTCCATACATTTTGCATTATGTATTTGATGTATTTTACATATATATTAAAATTACAAAGCAGTAAACATAAAGAAACTAAAGACACTGAATCTTGATTTGGTCTCTACACAATTAGACTGGTAAATATATTTTAGTTTTGACCAGAGTACACAATAACAGTATTTGCCCAACATTAATACATTTGATAGTGTGGTGACACCTTTAATACTTGTTTTGTAACAGGAGGACATTAGGGCCAGCTGGTGCTTATTCCTGGAGACCTCCCAGTCGCTGCTCTAGTGTAAACAGCCTGGTCAGCAGCTTGTCTCAGGTAATCACATGTACACAGATACAAATGTCAAACGCTATTCTCTGTTCCTTTTTCCTTGTGCTGTAACCTGATAACCTATAACTTCAAATGTTAAAGACTCATATAAAAATACAACACTAATTATATGCTTAAGCATTATATGCTAAATGTATTGTCTAGTCTATATGAAGGAATGAAACTTCAATTTTGGAATATACTGTATGTGAAAAGCCATAAAGGTAGATCCACCATACCCATTACGTAAACGGCCGTACAAAAAAGTATGGTTTCAGTTAGTTTTAACTTGTAGCAGTTTGTGCATTAATTCAATCTGAGTTATTATTGAGTCCAAAATCACAACAGCTGTCACCTCACAGGACTCCACAAAGACATTGATTTCACCAACACAGGCATTCACAGGAAACAAAAAAACCCTCGATTAGGGGGGGTTTAGGTGACTACATATTATTGCACATTTTTTCAGCATGTGTATGTATTCAATTATTTATTTATACATCAAACATTTACACATATAATGAAAAAAATAATGTTTACTCAAAAGGAGTAAATGGGGATTTTAATAATATCTGAAACCCTATATTTCCACATGATGAACAAAATTGATATTGATGTATTTCTTTCATCAGGCTCAAGAGTTTGGAGCCCTACCGGACTTGGGCCAAAGTCTTCTGGGAGACCTGGGTGAATTGGGGGAACCCTGTAGTTTAGCAGAGAACCTTCGACATGAGCTGGACAAATCAGAACTCAGGCAACAAGAACTTTTAGCCCAAGTTCAAGAACTCAACCAAGAGGCAGACAAACTTAAAAGTGTCATAAATGACTTAAAAGGACAGTTACAGGTTGCTCAGCAGTCAGTGAACCAAAATACTGAAAACCATTTGTTAAACGTGCAAGAAAAATGCGAACTTAGGGACAGGCTTTGTGCTGCAGAGAATAGGAACATGGAGCTCCTCTCAAAACTAGATGAAGCTCTTAAGGAGAAAGGCCAGCAGACGGCTAGCTATTGCAATTCAGCGTGGAAAATGCAAGAGTTATCGGACAAACTCAAAATGTCCGAACAGGAGAGAACGGAGGCTAAGAAAGAAGCGGAAGACAAGCAAAAACACATTGAGCGCTTGTCCCAGGAATTAAAACTGAAACAAGACGAATTGAGAAACTGTGAGGAAAAGTTAGCTCAGGTCAAGGCTAAAGCTGACAGCGAACGCGAACTTGCACTGAAACGGCTAGAGGATTTGCAAGGCGCAGTAGGTAGAATCCAGGGGGCGCTAACGTTGAAAGAGAAAGAAACGGGTAATTTGAGAGCTCAACTTCAAGATTTACAAGCCTCACTTGAGAGTAGAGAAAGGCAGGCGGAGGAACTGAGGAGGCGTTTGCGCGAGGAGCAAGAAGAAGTGGAACAAAGGTGTGATGAGGATTTGGAATTACAGATTGTAGATTTAAAAATGACACTCAGGACGAGGGAAAAAGAGCTGAGTGCAAGTTCGGAGAGGATCAAGCACTTAGAGGAACAATTAGAAAAGCTAAACGATGAAACAGATAGTCATCGCACTACAGAAATGCCCCCAAGTGAAGATAATATCGGGGACTATAAGATCCAGTGTAGCAATCTGACAGAAATAAACGCCAAGCTGCTACTAACGGTTAAAAAGAGCGAAGATAGTCTAAAGGAGTTATCTGAATGCAAGGCTAATTTGTTAGAGCAGCTGGCTATGTTGAAAGCATCCGAAAAGCATTTAAAGGGGCGTTTGGATGCGGCCAATATTAGCGTGGAAGATAGAGAAAAGAAATTATTAGATGAAAACTTGTATCTAGAAGAGATTGTGGAAAAGATAATGATGCAAAAATATGAGTTGGAAGAACAATTAAAAAGAATAGAGCACGAGAATGGTGAGGTTTTGGAGGCCAAGTCCTTATTGGCGAAGGAGTTGGCTGTGATTCGGGATGAGAGGGATTTGCTAGCAGCTAGGGAGGCAATGCTAGCTAGAAATGTCAATGTGTCTCAAAGGGGTAATGAAGATTTGCTGGGGAAACTCCAAGTGACAGAGGATAAGCTAAAAGAGCAGACTGTGCAGTGTGGTATACTCCAAGCTCGAGTAGTGGAGTTGGAAGGAAGAGTGGCAGAGCTCCATAGTGAAAAGGGTGCAGCGGAAAGCAATGAAAAGATGCAAAAGGCTATAATGGAAACCAAAGATGCTCCGTTTAGGCTGGTGATCGCCGAAGCGCAACTCGAAATGAATTTAAAAGAAATGCACAGGCTACAAGAGGAAGTAGTGAAGCTTCGAAGCCAACTTCAAGCTGGTACGGAGGAGAAAATCAAAGCTCAGGCCTTACAGGAAGTGAGCGAGGCGTCCAGGGAGGATCTGAGGGTTTTGGCTGAACAATTGAAAGGTCAAGTGGAGGAGCTGAACCGGAGACATGTGGACGAGATTCTGAGGTCGCGCGAGAGGGAGGAGGCGTTGGTGAGGGAGAGAGACGGAGAGGCACAGGCGCGCATGGGGCTGGCGACGGAGGTGACGGCATCCAGAGACGAGATGGAGAGACTGAAACGCAGATATGATGTGCTGTGTGTGGAGAACAGCGAAGCAAGGTGAGGGGAAGGCATGTTTACAGTGATCAATGTCCAGTTTCTGATGCTTCAAATTGTTTATTCTGACCATTTAACCTTAATAGAAAAGGGTCCGCCACCTTTTTCTGTCCTTGGTGATGTTATTGCTCTCCCAGGAATATACCGCAATATGGCATTAAACATGTATCTTCCCTTTCAGTTACAATGTTAATATTATTTATTACGGACATGCATTCTTACTATGAGTGGGGCCTCCACTCTACAGATCTGACCTGTAACTTGTCACTGTATGTAATTTTAATCTCATACTTTTCCCCGGTGGCAAGTCCCCAGAAAAGTAACATGCAGATTGCACCTTTTAACTAATTTAACAATTTAGAGTTTTTAGCACCACAATATAAATTATTCAAAACCGAAACAGATGACACATGTGTGAGTTATGTCTGTGTTGTCCTGATATCTCCTGGAAAAGAAAAATACATTTATACATTTGCACATGTCTCTGCCACATGCCCTGTAGCAATGAAATAAACAATGACATTTTTTAATTAATTATTGTTGTTGACAGACATGCTAATTATATTTAGAACTATTCTTATGTAATAATGTCTGAATCACCTAATACACATATTCAAATTTGAAATCTGGTGTTGGCTCTAAAAATCCACCTCTTCACCATTGGCCTTTGTTTTTCTTGCTTTTTTATGAACTGTAAAGAAATGTGGAAAATCTTTTCAAATTTTTACATCAGTATATATGATCTGTATAGGGTAATTATCAGGCATTTATTCATGGAGCCATAAGGATTCTCATAATCAATCATAAGAATAAAAAAAAAACATAATTTGAAAAAACAAAAAGGCTCATTAAAATTAAATGAACAGAAAAATCTAGTGCAAGCTTCCAAACAAGGGTATAATATTAATTTTATGGTCTATTCCATACTTAGTGCACATGTTTACTGACACATTTTAGCACATTCATCATGTATTGTTAAAATATTGTCTGAATACGATTATCAAGATAATGCCAAAAATCTAGAGATTAATTTTTGTCAACATTACCCCTGCCACAATACCATTCATACCATCCTCCATACAACAACCTCACCCTTACGTAACAGATATGTCTTGTCCTGTCCTCATCATTTCATCTTTGCACAGTTTTTCTTTATGACCTCTTGTATATAGCTGAGATATATCTTTATTACTTTATTTCTGTATTTTATTATTATAATTTTTTTTTTACTTGTGTATATATACATGTATTTAATTACGACTTGCTTGGCACCAGTCTCTTGCTATTTTGCTACTTTTTTTTTTTTTTATTTATTACTACCATTTCTCTTTTGTTATTATAATATATTGAGATGTGTGACACTGTGTCCAAGTAATTTCCCTTGTGAATCAGTAAAGTTTGGCCAAATAAGTCTAAGTCCAGTACTGGTTTTAGTATCGATAAGTATCTGATTTTCACTACTTCTGACAACTCTATTGCCCACCCATAGTTAAATGTCTTCTGTCGTATTTCCAGAGAGGCGCTGCACCGAGCCAACACAGAGACTGCAGAGCTGGGGGTCCACGTGTGCATGCTCACGGCTGAAAACGAAGAGGCCCGGCTCAGACTGGACGGACTGTGCTCGCGGCTGGAGGAGATGGAGGAGGAAGCCGATGCACTTAACGCTACAGTGGAGCAGTTACAGGAGGAGAACCAGGAACTACAGAGGAACGGTGCACATGGAGCAGGGACAGAGACCAGAGAGGGGCTGGAGGACAGACTGAGCCAAGCCAGGCAGGAGACAGAGGCACTACGGGCCGCGAGTGAGGAGCAGATCCAAGCTTTGAGGTTTCAGATCACCAGCCAGGAAATCAACCATGCAAACCAAATACAGGTACATGCAAATATGAGGCTTTTGACAATGGATACATTGTGTTTTATTGTATAGAGGAGAAAAGATAGCCACAGGATTGAGGCAAAACAAAAAAATATTAAGCTTAACTGTTTCCTAAAATATACAAGCAAATTATTTGTCTTAAACTTACATTTTTTTATGTGCAAGTACCACAAGTATTTGATTAATAGTTAACTGGTAATAATTTGATAAGGAATTTATATCCCTATTCAGACGCAAATATACTGTGTTATTTGCTGTCACTTTAGTGACACTGATCAGATCCTGTTTTGTTTTGGTGGTTTTATCCTTTTACATCACAGATCTAACCCTAAATTTATTTTGAAAAAGGAACAAGGTTTAGGATTTGGTCACCGTATTTTGTACTGGCAAAATAACACATCAAGTCTTAAGTCATTATTTTCTATGAAACAATTGTATTATTGCAATAAAATGCAATTTTACATCTACTGATGATGTGGCTATTATTTTGCTATAGCTGCAACAAATACAATAATTAGACCAATTGTATCAGCTAAGAATCAAATGTCTAGAGACTTAAAGACTTCAGTGTTTATTTACATTCATGAATGCATTGTATTGATAAAATAAACCATAGGTTAAAGTTAAAGTATGTCAAATGTTTCTTCTGATGCAGACTGTCAGTCAAGAATTACAGGAGGTAAAATTACAGCTGGATGTCGAGTACAGGAAAGCGGTCGATCTGGAGAACAGACTCACTGAGTTAGAGGTAGGTACCACTTAAACCACAATCAACATAATGTATTCAAGAGAAGAGGAACTAAAATACTTAACCAAGTTTACAGTTTTGTTTTGTTAAATTGGCCATTACCACAACATTTGATTAAATCTGTAGTACAGTAGAGCCCAACAATGACAAGTCAGGGTCACATCTTGGGGTGGGCAATATGACAAAAATAATTTTTTTGTTTCCTTGTATTGTTTGATTTATTATTCAGTTTTATGTTTTCTTATTACAGACAAATTCATTTATTGAGCATAATCAATACAGACTTGGAGGTATTTTAGGTGCTCTAATAAACGTGCTTTCTGATTGTATACGCTGTATCGTGGTGTGACAAAAGCAAATTGCCATTGCCTTGTGTTCATTGGCTTCCTCGTAACTTTATGGCCGTGAGCGTATCATCCAAAGAAGCAGGACTAATGTTTCGCTTTGCTGTGCTGATCGCAGGCCCAGAATCACAGTTACTGCCGACAGATTGAGGAGAAAAACATCCAGATGGCCCAGTCGCAAAATCTCATCCAGCAAAAAGAAAATGAGTTAATCTATCTGAAAGGAAATTTATCAAGGTGAGATACAGTATTCATAATCACACACTCTGGACTCATTTAAAGCCCTGTTGAAATGCCAATCTAATCTTGTTTATTCTGAAATGACTGCTTTCCTTATTGTTATTACACTGCATCTATGATTGTGCAAGAGATGTCTAAGATCTGGTGAAATCATCTTTTAAGCTTGTGTGAATGCGATCAAAAGGGAATTGGAAAAACATGTTATTGATGGGACATTTGTCACGGTGTGTTGTGTTGTTTTGTTAGATCGGAGGAAGCGCGAGAAGCTGCAGAGAATGCCTGTAAAGAGCTGAGTGAGAATCTACGGAGACTCACGCAGGACAAAAAGAGTGTGGATCTGAAGACGGCTGCAGAACTGGATGACCTCTACCGAACCAAAATCAACCTAGAAGAAAGGCTTATAGAGCTCATTAGGTATACACATCATATTTGTTACATTTTCTTTTCATTGATTTGTTTCGGATAATGCTGCATTCACCTGGTGCAGTAAAATCAATTATTCAATCAACAGGTCGACATTCACTGTGCATTTCACTGGTTCAGGTTAAATCTTTTAACTTGCTGTAAATTATTCTCTAAAAATATATATATATACATATATATACGTATATATATATATATATATATATATATATATATATACGTATATATATATATATATATATATATATATATATATATATATATATATATATATATATATATATATATATATATATATATATATATATATATATATATATATATATATATATATATATTTTAAAAGCCCACCGAGGTAGGAGTGAATGTATAGTCACAAAATTAGATACATGAGATTACATTAATGCCATGATTTAATAGAATGTAGACAAAATACATACTGCCAAAAAGTGAATTATAATGTATTAAAGGTTCACTGTGTAACTTTTCTCATATGAAATCCACTACTTTTTGTGTCTATTGACAAATTTCCCTCAGAATAGCATTTGCGATTCTTTTTAGCCTGTTTTTATTAATTTAAAAATACAGTAAAATGCTTACTGTGCACCCCTCTCCTCGGAGATGGATACGTTTAATGCCATATTGTGGAACATGCCCGGCAAAACTTTCAACATGGAGACAGGCAAGTTACACAGTGCGCCTCATTATTTTTGAAACAATGACCTCTTGACATTTGACCTTGTAATCTTTCCTACTAAAAGGTAATGTAGTAAGGTTTAACACTACAAAACACTACATAACCCAAGTCACCCCATCTGCTCTTAAACTGGGTTCATCTTTGGACCACCTGACCACAGCAGCCGCTCCCTGTCAAAGCGTTAGTCTTTCTACTGTAAATATTCATACAGTTTTTGTGTCCTACAGGGAGAAGGACGCGCTGTGGCAGAAGTCAGATGCCCTGGAGTTTGAGCAGAAACTTCGGGACGAGGAAACCGAGCGGGACGTCAACCACTGCATCTCCTGTCTCAGCCCGTTCAGCTTCTGGCTCCGAAAGTACACATGCAGGTCAGTCACGGGACACGCCAACTCTGCCCTTGTCCTCATCAAGCACAAAGCTGTGTCCAATTCAAATTAGTGCGGCCGCAGAGACACCGAATACACAGGGGAGATGCAGATTAACATAGTGAAAGTACACACGTCAGGCGAGATTAGAGCGCGGTACACAGATGAGAAGTTTAGTTACAGTCTGAGTGGATGTTTTAAAGGAGAACTTTTACTTACTGTAAAGATGGGACTGACTGTAAGGTTATGCAGTGTTTTAATGAAAACTGGTCATTGATGCTGTAACATTTACTGTACATGGGACAGTATTACTGTAGTTAATGCCCTGATGTGAGTGAGCTGGTTTTAAGCAAACACAAGTCAGCTCTTAATATGGGTTTCAAAAGCTTAATGTACTTATAGTATAATTTTATGTCGACTTGCCTAATAGATGTAACCACATTTGACCGTCAGTTGTGATAAAAGTTTTAATTGATTGGTGAGTGTTCAGACTCTCAGTCCGAACCTGTAGGCTTATGTCTATGAAGTGCAGAGCCGTGGTGTAGAAGTGTGCTTTCTTCAGCTACTTTAAATGCATATGGACAGTGATGCTAAATCAGATGAAAAATTATCTTAGTGTTTACTGACATGAAAAGAGATAACAGTAGAAAAAAGGAAAGAGAGCTAAAAAAAAAAATGACCTTGAGGACAAATACTTTTGGTAATGGAGAAAACAGCAGGTGCAACTTCAATTATATGTAAACACACTCTATGCTGTGTTTAATCATTCAATCAAGAACATGGTTTTATGATCATTAACATGAACAAAAACTATTTAAAAGTGTTTTGTGTAGTGCTCAGGCTTATTCAGGCTTATTTAGAAGTTTGAACTAAGTTCTAAGAGAATTTGGTTATTTTCTATTATTTATGTCCAAGGACACTGCAAGTTCACATGCTCAGAAGTAAGATTCTGAACATGTTACTGTAGATTAGCATATTTCTATAGGATTACATTGTTCCTGTTCTACAAAAAGCCTTACTTTACAATCTCGCTCTATTGAATTCATTTATTGGTGTTATATAAATGCACCGTGCCTCTCTGACTGTGCCTGACCTCTTGCTGTGTGGCAGATTGTGTGGGCGTCCCTTCTGCTACTACTGCTGCAGCAACTCTGTCAGCACCCAGCAGGGCGGCCCCAAAGAGCGCTGCTGCCTGGACTGTTACAACCAGCACAGTGCAGTGATAGAGCGCCACCCGCAGGAAGAACCCGTGAACTACAGCAGCACTCCAGCAACACCTCTCAGTCGACTTCTACAGGCAGGAAGAGCCGCCACTAGCCTGGTGACCGGTGAGGACTACTATGAGACAAGACTGGACTTTGGGCTTTAAAGTAGTGACTTGCAAACTAACTACAGACTACAGACCAACATTTTTATCCATAACTTGACTTAAAGACAGGACTTAATATATGTAAAAAGGTGCACTATGTAATTTATTGAATTAAAGGTGTTTTCATTGCTGAAAATGCTTCCATTCCCACTGTGAGCAGGAATGCCTCTCCACAGATATTGCCTGTAACATGGCCTGCTGGTCTCCCCTGTGTGTCTTTTTCAAGATATATTTAATGCCATACTCTGTAACACTCAAAGCATTACCATGGAGACGAGCATGTAGCGAACCCTCCTTTACCAAAAATGTTATATAGTGCAACCTTCAGCAAAATTATGAGCACTCATTTAAAACCAACTGTTTTTGATCAGTTATTTGTGATTTTATTTTATAACGCACTAGTATGTTTCACATTATCCAACTTCTTTATGTGTTATTTAAAATATTGAATAAAATGAGGGCTAATATCAGATAAATCCAATAATAAAGGACCATTTAAGTCAACTGAGATCTTAACTAGTCTTAGGTCTATCCTGCCTAAATTCTGAAGTCTCCAATGAATGAACTGTTGTAGATACTGAGACTGTTATTAATGTCCACAGGAGCTGAACCTGCAGAGAAACAGGACGATGGAGTGTTTGACATCATCACAGAGGAGGAAGTGAGTGGAGTCTACGACAGTGACTCATTCCTAACAGCCTGCTCCTCCACACATGGCCAGCAGGGGGCAGCAGAACTGTAAGTATCACACCAAACGCAACAGCCCCCCTAACTGCAGTATGACACATCCAGCACCATTTATCAGACCTCAACAGTATTTTTCCTATTTATTTAGTGGCAGTTGTACAAGGCTCTGTATTGAGAATAAATCTTGATCATCCATGTTGTCTCCTAATGCGATTTGTGCAGACAGTCCATTATTTATTTTATTCACTTGCTCTTTTGTCTCCTCTCACATTGGTCATTGATCATCAAAATCCATTAAAATCAGTTTGTAGTTATGAGGTCTTAAAAATACGTTTATCTTTAAATCGCTTCTGTCATAATCCTAAACCTATTCCCCGTACTGTTTAATGATATGATTTACGTACAGAGGACGCATTATAATACAATAATTTCAATTATAAGTTATTTTGTTGTATTGTTTTTTTCTTTTGTCATTGTTTTGCTTAGAATGTTCCAGTATGGCATTAAATCTATCTGTCTTACATTTATTCAACTACAGGTGTTTTTATTGCTTAAAAATACCCTGTAAAGCATGCAGTTTTACTATGAGCGTGATGGCCTGTAGCTTGGCGTAGTGGTGTCTCAGTTTCTGACACCACTAAACTCCATGGAGCTCCATGGAGTTAAAATAAATTTAATGCCATGATTCTGTAGAACATTCCAAGCAAAGCAGTAACATCTCCATGGAGACAAGCTGATAAATTACATAGTACACCTTTAAAAAAATATTGAATTTTTCGTAATTGAAATAGGCGATATTGTAAGAAAAGTTATTCCAGGCCTAACACATGTATATATAATTTTTATTTGTGGCACTTTTAGACATTGACTTGTATACACATGTATTTGAATAGTATTGAGCAATTATGGATTCTTCTTAATATAATATAGTAATACAAATATGCTTTTCAAAATGCTTTTCCAGAAACAGCAGTGCCAGTGCAGGAGACTTGACCTCAGAAGACCCAGAGGACTTCAGTGCAACGGTCCAGGATGCAGAGATTGGCCTGCTCAAATCTGGAGAGCTCACGTGAGTGCAACACACAAAGAGAGGGAGACCTTGACCTTTCTTGTCAAGTTCAGTCTAAATCTTGACTTAAGAAGTGAAACATGAAAGTTGTGCAACACTGACTGTTTCTCTAAACATACATCATAGATGGATTCTTGGTTTGGAAGCAAGCAGTTTTGAGAATTATCAAATGTATTTATGTGTTGATGAAATAAATTAAGCAAATGTAGTACAGTAGACTTTGTATGCTGACAAGTGGGGTGTAGACCAACATGCTATGGATCCTACCTGTATGACTAAGCGATTACAGAGACATATCGTCATGTTATGATTCAGTGATTTTTTTGTGATTTAGTGATAATGTCATTCTAAAGTTCAAACAGTTTTACCTATCAAATTCTTCTATTGGCCAGCCTCAGATTCTGAGAGACAGGTGAATTTAACCAGTCACTGTTAAATAATATTAATTATGTCAAATCAGGATTAGGCTTCAAGAAAAATCATGTACCTTTAACCAACAGAATGTCAAAATCAAAAAGAAACTTGTTGATTGAGCCTAGTTAACACAATGGGACAATGTTTGCGATGCAGCTTAATATAGTTGCCTTATATGTTTGCTTGACCTTGAACACTTCCGGTATACAATTAGAATGAAAAAACTGGTAATTTAAATCCATCTATCTTTTTGTCCTGTGCTGCAGAGTATGCATCCCATTCTCTCTGGATGACATCGCTTCGTTCGGGGACAGTTACCGCGAGCTCTTCATTAAATCCAGTTGTTACAGCAGCCTCCCCCTCAGTGTGAGCAGTGCAGGCCCCACTGTCTCCTGGACCTTCACCTCAGAGCCTAAGAGCATCTCCTTTAGTGTGGTGTACAGAGAGAGTCCTGACACGCCGCTGGAACAAGCTAAGGTCAATATGCCATGGACCAATGAACATCCAGAGCGCAGATCAAAAGTCACCATTATTTTGAATTATTTAGGTTACAAATATAGGTTCACAGTACATTTGATTCATAATAGATCTGTGTTAAACCAAAATTTTCTCATTCAACTTAATATGTAGACATAGATAGGTTTTTTTTTTGTATTCCTTTGTTCCATTTATTCTACTGCCAAAGCAACTCTTTGAACAGTGCCCACTATTCTGAATGGAAGTGCAAAAGAAAAAAACAGGCTATTCCCATGTAATTTACTTAAATAAAAGCACCCATGAATTTGTCCTAAGAGAGCCCCGACACTGTGCCGGTACAACAGGGCAGACAGTCACTAGCTTCAAAGGTCTTCTTCTGCTTTCAATACCTGTCTTCACCAAAATGTCCGTCATCGTCTCTGCTCAGGTCCTGATCCCACTGACCCGCTGCAATTCACATAAAGAGACCATCCAGGGAGAGCTGAAAGTGCGCCACCCAGGGGAATACACCCTCATCTTTGACAACTCCTTCTCCAGGTCAGTCTGTGGAGATACATATCAGCTCTATGTCAGGGCGCTTGCCACTGAGGAAAAGATGAAGTGTTGTATTCTGAAAAGTCTAGGTCTATCAAGTAGTTGAATATTGACTCACCAAAACGACTCATGTTCAGATTAATATTCTGTATTAATCCTGAAGGTAATTCAGATATTCGTTTTTGCGATGAGCTATTTTTAGACTGTCCTTGACATTCAAAACTAACTCTTGATCTGATTTGTGTTAATCAGGTTCATCTCAAAGAAAGTGCTGTACCACCTGAGTGTCGACAGGCCCGTGGTCTACGACGGGAGTGACCTGCTTTGAACAGAGGGAAAAGAGGACACATCACGACTAGTTCAGGAGCTGTAGGAACTTTTTCCAATTCTAAGATGGAACTGTTCTTTTTACTTTTGGCCAACCATGGTACTGAAGGTAAAGGTTTACACTACTACCATAAAATACGTTTTTTATTATAGTTTTATTTATTCGTTGTGGTTGTTTTTTTTTTCTCCAAAGCTCTTTTTTTTGTTTATCATTCTTCATTTTATTAGGTAGGTATTTGCTTGTCTGACAGATGTAGTTCCTAACTCGTCATTTATCCAGGCAAGAAGCATTCATTATATGACTCAATCTGAATTTTACAAACAACTACTTATCTATTGATAATGTTCCCATAGTTTGTTTGTTTTTTATTTTTAAATTTCAATTTGGGGCCTTGATGAACAGGAAAAACTTGTCATGATTTTTCGCATGTTAGTGTATAAGCTTTTGTTTAAATGATTGGGTGAAGCTGCATGAAGTATTAAACTGACCAAGGTACTCCAAGCAACCTAAGTTTCACATGTTTACACTAAGTTATTAATATTTTCTTTTGTAGCATTTGTATAGAATATAGGACATATGAAGAAGTGCATTGTTTACTGGTTTGATTACTGTACAGATAAATTAAAGATACTGTACCAGATTTTTTCATGTTAAAAAGTTAAATATGTCTTGCGCCAGTACACATATATTTTAACAGCAGCTCTTGAGGTCAAAATGAAAATGGAAGTGTTTTATCGCTTTTGAAACACTGAAAAAAGGTGTGAAACACGCTTATAAACTTGCAGTGAGTAATTAGGATTGTCCGGAACGCGCTAGAAAAATAAAGGAAAAGTTTGGACCACTGCAAACTATTTCAAATGAACTTTAAAAAGTCAGGTACTGCATCTTTAACTCTTGTTACGTTAAAACAGCTACACTAACAGCTACCTGATTTGTATAAGTAAGCTATCTTTGTGAAAATGTAAACAAAATCCAACTTTATGCTGACTGAAATGCAAAGAAAACAGTGTCAAGTTCATAAGCTGTGAGTATGCTATGCAACAAACTTCATTAATAATAACTAAAGTTCTGTGCTTCAAAATGATAATTGGGTAAACATTTAACAGTATAAAAATATGACAGTGTTTTTCATTTCCTTGGATATTGACAAGCCATTGTTCCAGTTACATAAACCCACACAGCAGCATCAGCAGCAGCAGATATGAGCTATTCTTAGTAACATTTCACATATCACTTTTATACTTGAATGTCCCGTGTGGGCTCAGGCATTTGTGCTAAAACAAGCTCTTTTATATTTACCAGATTGGTCTTAAACCTATTTATGACTTGAATTTACCACTGGATCAATGTCTTCCAGATTTTTATAATGTTCTCGGATGAAATATACTTACAATATTAATCAAACAGGACTACTAATATAAGGATTAAAACATATTATATATTTATGTACTAATTGACAAAATATTGCATTGCTTCTTGGCTACTGATACAAAGGGTTTTTATGTTACAGTTTCCCATGATGCTTTGTTTTCAGTTTTATTTATCTGTGTGACTTTAGATACTGTATTTGCCAAAGGGACTGTTTAACTGCTCTGTAAATAATTGTTAACAAAACTGACATACAAATGACTGAATATTTATAACTGACTCATTGATTAATAAATAGCCTATGATAAAATTCTTCTAATTCTTTTTTTTTTTTTCATTGCATCATAGTACAGCCCAGGAGTTGAACTCATTACCCTCTTGCTGTGAGTGCTACAGTTGTGTGTGCAAAAGTAATTAGCGAGATTTTAATATTAATCCATATTCTGTATAAAGATGAAGACTAAAGGAGTGCAACGTCGCCCATAGCAACCAAATGAAGCTCATCGAGGCCGGCAGTTGTACTTTCTATTCTGCAACCAGGGACCCTATTTGGAAATCCAAGCGCAAAATCGGAGAACCAGTCAGAAGCAAGGCTGTTGAAGATAACGCCCCCTTTCCACCCGCACTGTTGGTTTGTCAAAGGGCGGGCGCTTAGCAACGAGGCTGTCAATCATCTTGTTGCAAACACTAGAAAGACTGACCTCGGGGAAAGCAGGTGTTGGATTTCTCGGGTATTCATTTTCATATCCTAATTTCGGATCAAAATAGTGAAATAAAACCCCAGGATTATGTAGCGCGTGTTCAAACCAACATTTTAAAGTCAAAATGACGAACCTGAGGGCTGTAGTTACAGACAGAGGGGTGACAGTTTTTCAGTCGTGAAAAGGGAAATGCAACCACTACTGACGCCCATGCTCACTTCCTGTTTAGCTAATCCATTTATATATACAGTCTATAACCTTAGCAGCAGAGGTGGGGACTGGTAAGTCGTGACTTGGGCTCGAGTCAGACTTGAGTCACTATTTTTAGGACTTGAGACTTGACTTGATAAAATGGACTAAGACTTGGGACTCGACTTGGACTTGAAGGTCAATAACATGGGACTTGACTCGGACTTGTGGCCTGACTTGAGAAGATTTGAGCATTTTTAAATCTGAATTCTTTCTATTCTGACCGTAATGATACACTAAGATCTTGTCAAGACATTTAAAAAGGAAAAATTTACATTTCTACAACTCTTATATAATCTATAAATACTCATATATAAATATACTATGACTTTGTTTAAGTACAATTTAGTTTAAAGTTTATATAAATTGAAAAAATCTAAGCTATATTTGGTTCTTTGGTTTAAAGACCTGAAATTACTTAAAGCTCAAAGCAGACGACTTGGACTTGACTTGGACTTATGGGCCAGTGACTCGAGACTTGACTTGGATTTGCCTGTATTTGACTAGGGACTTGACTCAGACTTGAGGTCAAAGACTTGATACTTACTTGAGACTTGCAAAACAACAACTTGGTCTCACCTCTGCTTAGAAGTAATTGACTGTGCATATGAAACACTAAAACTAGGGTTGTAAGATTTACTTTTTGCACAGGACTTTCTACTATCTAACAAACAGCAGCCTTTGTGATTTGATAACTGCTCCAACTCAAATCTCTTTTTGATTTAGTTGAGATTACATAATGTAAAACTAAAACTGGAGCAACTTCCTCTGAAAGTATCTTGAAATGCTGGACTCATTGTTATAACATGTCCATGAACCACATGTGGTACTTGCACTGCTGTTTGAGAACCGCTGCTGTGTATTGTACAGTTAATTCATGGAGGAAATTGAATAAGATCCAGATTTAGCCTCATACATGCGTTTCTGTTCATGCTTGTCTCTTCTGTGAGGGATATTTATGCAGCAGAGGCCTCTTCCCAAGGTTAATGATCTCATTGTAAAGCATGTCACACCTCCTCCATCCCCTAGCTCTGCCTCTCTCTCTCTTCCCTCTCCCTCCATGTCTTTCTAGGTCTCTCTCCCTGACGCCTTGCTTAACTGTGAAATGCACGCGGATGAGCCTTGGCCACGGCGATGGTTTGTTTTTGTGGGCTTGAGTTTCTAAGAATGAATCCTGAAGCAGCAGCAAAGGCTCATGGGTAAAAAGAGCAGAGGCGCGGTGCATTCAGGCGCTCTCCAACATTATGTGCTTTTCAGTATTGGCGCACACACAGCATTTTACAGGCCTGTCACCTTATCAGATTCCACATGTTAAATGCAGACAGCTCCTCTGGCCTGTAAAGCCGTCCACACCGCTCCCAGATATGACCTATATCACAAATGTATGTCTTTATGTTTTATGCACATCATATTCTAGTCCTCCGATCAAACTAAATCAACTCAAAAATAATAATGCTTCATCATTTCAGCTCTTATTTTCCCGAGAAGTAGTTTGGGATCAAAGACTTGCCTACAAAACTATTACGTATCGCTATATATCTGACCCAAACTGCACTCACAAAACTACAACTACACCAGCTATTAATGTACAAGGAAACAATGCAACAAGTTATATAGAGACACTTTTATATTCAAAACAAATCTGCAGCTACCTCACATACTAACTTCTCCTTTTTGCTGTTGTCTCATAAACTGTTTTAATCTATATAAAATAATTTGTTGACTAATGAGATAAATAAAGTAATAATAAAATAAAGATTTTGGTTGACAAAGACACCATCAGCTGACTAAAGGGCTACAGCTCTAGTGGAAAACTGTAACATATGCTCAGGGTGGCTCTAATGAATGAAAGATAAATAATATTGTCTTCTTAACTTATTAATTATATGCATATTAAGTCAAAAAGTTATAATGACAATACTTGGGTAATATTCCTCTAATACTCCTGAAGAGAAAAGAAGAAAGAAATATTAGAATTTGTACATAAGATTTTATTAAAATTATTCAGCCTTGAAATGGGACGGCTACACTCAGGGAAAATGCAAAATTGAAATCTTTGTATTTATGTAACAAACCTCTCACACATGTTGCCTGCTCAGCTTCCACACTGCTTCTTGTAGTTGTTACAGAGGAGCTACAGTTTTTTTTTTTTTTAATACATAAAAAATTTGAAATAGAAAGATTCACACCAGATTTTAAAATACATCTAAACACCTAAAAAAACATACACACAGTTTAAAGGTCCTTAAACATTATGCAAAATTGTGAATTTTTAGCCATGTTAGAATATTATCTCATCAATAACAGACCTGTTGTATTTCGTTTCATTCACACATGTTTGGGAAACCATTTATTATTAGTCTGTCTACATCTCCAAAGCTCAAAATGCTCAGTTCCTCCTTGTGATGTCATGAAGTGGTTTTCAAGTTAACAGCTACTTTTTACCTTTAGATCAGCAACAATTCCAGATTTGAAACAATCCAAATGATTCTAGTGAAGGTGTGTGGAGTTTAAAAACACAGTGGAGCACTTCTTGTATCACCACATGACATTACAAGTTGGAACAGAGTGTTTGAGAGAAGAGCTCAGAGTTTGTGTGTTAAACATTTATGAATAAAACAAACATGCCTCCAGGTATGTTTTTGATGACAACATAGATCAGAAAATAGTGTAATACGGGCACTTTACGGTGAACACTTTTATCATCCCATATATTTCGGCCCTTATTTTGACTACATCATTTTTAAGTGCACAGTATTTCACTGCTCCAGAGCCTCCTCGTTTCTCACAAACTCACTCATTATCTTGTATTCCCTCAGTGGTGATGTAACCAGTCTCTGTATTTCCTCTGTACTCCAGTGATCAGTGAAACCTCCTGAAGTCTGATTGCGAAGTACTGTGAATAATTCCCCCACTTAAAATCCATTCATATTTCCAGCGGTGTGCACAATAATCCTACAATTACACCTAATGAATATTTAGTGTGGAAAGTTAGATCTATGTCGTCTGCCTGGTGACGATAAGAAACTAAAATCTTTCATGTTTTAATACTTTCCTTTGAGATTATAGTCCCTGAAGTACACTATTGGCAGATTACCAATGTACAGTACATGTTGTTCAGTGGCTTTTTATTTATGATCTGTGCGAAGAATTTGTAAGTTTTCCCAGTAATCAATGATATTTTGATATGTGGATTTATGTAGGTCACTGCCTCTGGGACTAAATAAAGACAGAAAAGCTTCAGAAAGAAGTTAAACATGAACCATATTTATATTATTTATATTATAGAATTAATGGAAAATAAATAATACTGCCTTCTTTACTTATTAATCATATGAATAGCTCAAAAAGTCTTACTCAGTCATCATAATTTACATACAATTATTTCGAGTTTTTTTCATGTTTCAGCTTAAAGGGCTCATATCATGCTATTTTTGGATCTGTGTCATAATGTTGTTTCCTTATCAAAAACATAGCAGTTTTGGTCTGTTTCATTCACACATGTTTAACACTCTTCTCAAACAGAAAACACTCTGTTCCACCTTATGGTGAGACAGGAAGTTCTCCACTGTGTCTGTGAGTTTAAACTTCATGCACTTTCACTAGAATCATTTGGATAATTTCAGCCAATCTCTACTCAGCTAAAGGTAAAGGGAACCTGTTAACTTGAAAACTACTGCCTCATGACATCACAAGGAGGAACAGAGCATTTTATGTTTTAGAGATGTAGACAGACTAATAATAAAGGATTACTCAAACATGTGTGAATGAAATAAAACACAAAACAAAAATAAGTTTTTGAGAAGGTAACAACTTTTCAACTTTTCATAATATAGGACCTTTAAAGCTACACCATGTTGCTTTTCTGAACTTCGACTTTGCCTGGAATGTTCTACAGTATCGCATTAAACATTTCAATGAAGAAAAGCAGGTGACAATGAAGGTCTAATCTGTGGACTGGCAACCCCACTTACACTAAGAATGCATGGATTTCAAAGTATTTTTGAGCAATTATAACTGCTTTACTTCAATAAATGCAACATGTTTCATACTGTAGAAGATTCAAGACAAAGTTATGACATCTTCATTAAGGCTAGGTATTATTAAGATGTTACCGATACAATACATACCTCGATACACAGGCCACGATAAGATACGATACATACCTCGATACATAGGCCACGATACAATACATTCCTCAATACATAGGCCATGATACGATACATATCTTGATACATAGGCCACGATACAATACATGTCTTGATACATAGGCCACGATACCATACATATCACAA